TACGGTTAGTATGTTAAACACAAATCAGTGTTTACATAAAAACAATCTGAAGATAATTTTCTTCCCATTCTGGGTAACAGTACTAGGTCTAAGTATCAGCTACTGTACTGCAAGTATTGCCAAAAAGAAAAAAAAGAAAAATGAGGCATCCCCCCAACCTTTTATATATATCTAAAAGTAACCCCTACCGTCAAACTGATCTTCTCCCTCTGTCATCAGCTCATCATCAGAACAAATGCTCAGAACATTCACCAACATTTCTGTTACTGTGTAGGAAAGAATAAATATTAATTAATTGCCTAAGTTTAAACATTTTCATGCACACAAGACATAACTAGTCACCTATAACTATAGTAAATGAACCTTCCACATCATAACTTTTTCAGTAATCTTGCCTTGAAAATACAGATCGGCACAGAACTTACAAAGCTCATAATAATAGCAACTAAAAATTACACAACCTAGCAATCAGATATTAGAACATCACAGAGCTTTCTCTCCTCTCTTACAAGCAGTTCCTCTAGAGAGAAATTATTTTCTTGTATGTCAGTATTTCCWCACTAAGAGAATTCATTTCAGTTCATCTTCATTTGCACTTGATCTTATGCAAAACTTACTTAAATACAAAAGCATTTTGTGTGCTCAAATTCAGGCACAAAGGGAGAAATCTGTTCCACTCCTGGTATTTCCAGGAGTTGGCTTAAGACAGCTATCTTGAGTTGTCCCAAAAGTTCACCTAGTCACAGCACCTTGGCTTTGCCAGGGCCTAACAGCTCATGCCTCAGGATGACATAAAAGGTTATAACCACTATAGCACTGTTTCTGTCAAAACACCTTCCCAGCTTCCTATACTTAGATGCTCAGAGACTTCCAAGGTCAGAAATGGGATTTCCTTTGTTTGAGTCCTCTAAGACTTCTCTTTGTGATAATGTCCAGTAGTTATATGAATACAAATTGTCCTGAAAGTCAATACAGTAGTTTAATCACACATGTCAAAAATGATCTCATTTTGCTTTTACGGAATTTGATAGCAAATACTATACTGAYTCTTATTTTTGTATCAGGAAAATGCAAGTCGAGGAGCAGAAAGAATTTTTTCTGCGTGCGTAACAAGATCAAAATAAACAGTTTTAACAGTTGCAAAAGCAGAGCAGAGGCTTATCTACCACATCATTTCTGAGAGAGATAAATAAATAAAACCCTCCTTCCAACAGTCAGTTTTCCTGGTTTGGAAACCATAAGAAGTCAGTGAATRGGTTAACCACACTAAAAAGTATCTTAATTATTTGCTAGATTTGTTTATGTGAAGTAAATATACCACCCTCGAGGTACTTGAGAAAAAAAAACAAAGAGCTTTCTAAATCTCTTCTATGAAAAGACAGGTTCCTGTTGTGGAGGATTTTAAACACATTCTTTTAGTCTCTAACCTCTTTTTTTTTTTTTTTTTTTTAAACTAAAGACTACTTGGAGTCCCGGCGCCCTAGATAACAGAGTTATCAGCTCCAGAGGGGAAAAAAAAAAAATGAGGGTCTGTGCTAAATTATCTTTTACCAAAAAAGACCTTCAGAAAAGATAACTACATTAAAAAAAGTTAAAATTTTACAAGAACATCCCAAAAAAAAAAAAAAAAGAGGGAGAGAAATAATTCCAAAAATGCAATACTTGTAACACACGGTTAACAAAATATAAGGCATAACATTTTGCAGTATGAACAGAGGTTTTAGATTAAGTTCAAATTCTGAAAATCTACTGAGGTTCTCCTTCATAATGCAGATACAAGTTTTCAGAATTATACTTTCTTTTACCATCTCTATTACATTCAGTTTTATCTCAAGAACCATAAGCTAAAGAACAGGTTGTACTTCAGTCTTTCCTTTCTCAGAAATGGCATCTTTACTTGCCAAAAAAAATCTCTAAATCACTGACAACTCTCCCAAATCGTCTTTGTAATTAAGTGTCCAAGAAGGCCGCCTCAAAGACACAAACAGCTAACCACCACTTTCACAGAAACTATGCAATTAACTTCTCTTTGGTAGACATAAAAAAAATAAATTCATTGATTACTGCCTACCTTTTTCTCCAACGAATGGCAATGACCACGTGAAAACATCCATAAAATTTGGTAGCCAGTAAGGATGAGGGGAACAATTGAACTGACGAATATTCATCACATTGTTTTCATATTTTAATACAGCAGCTACAATAAAATTCAGACGTTTCAGAAAGAATGTTTAAAACTAATAAGTACCACAAATGCAAAGTCATGGGGTTCTTTTTAGTGCTATTTTGTTCTACTTATCAAATATCCCCAAAGAAAAGTCCTTCTCTTTTTTATAGTATTTATACAACAGATTTCTAATACAGAGCTATGAATTGTATCTTAATGAAAATACTGAGGGTTAAGGAACTGTGCAAGTGTCAATATGGTTTTGTCCTATCCTAAAATAGGTCAATAACCAACACAGATTTAAAAGGGTCATGAAAAGCTGTAATTTCAGCACCTTGAACAAAACTCTAACTCAAAACAGCAGTATAGCCAGGTTCAGGTTTTATTCCTGTTATGTCTTTGCACATTTATTTTCTGGATTCTGTGACTCCCTTTAATACAGAGAGGAATAAACCCACAAAAATCAAAAAAGGGAAACTCAGTGAAACAAAGCAGAAAACGAGCAGCATTCTAAAGCTGAACAGATGTTGACCACATATTCCCATACTATTGCATTGGGAACAGCTTATAGGTAATCAAGATTCTTAAAATCAATACCCATAGAGATGATGAAAAAGAGGGAAAACCTAGCTGAAGCTGGTGTTTTATTTTTGCTTTACTTTAAAACCAGTACAAATAACATCAAAATCTCATCTTCTGAGATGATATCTATACATATCTATATACATCTATATATAGATTGATAACTATATCTATATCTACATAACAGTTTATCACACCACATGACTGGTGTAGGTTGGGTAGCATTTTTCTCTTGTGAGATGAGTTGGAAGAGGAAGGAGGAAAGAGAAAAAATASACAGTATATTGAATTTAAGAAAAAAGGACTAGTGTTTCTAAGGAACACTATTTAAAAAGCTGGATAATTCATGCATTGCACGCTTGCATGACATCTATTTCAGCAGGCATTATTTTTGTTATTTTTTTCTGTTCTTGAACTTCTGCGGGATAATAGCTATTCACATTAAGGTCTCCTCTATAATTTGAATTTGTTAATCTTTATCCACACTAGTGAGCAACTCTACACCATACCTTATCCCTTTAACAGAAGATGAGCAAAAATTAATTCTCCCTCTCTGACACCTCTCAACCAGCATTTCCAAAGGTGATCAGTATCTGGATTAGCATCTGTTCTTCCCTGACTTCCTAAAAACTCTCATTATTGGCCCTGTATATCACAAAACTTGGAGTCTTCCCTGACACTCATTTTCTCCCCAGTGACCACCTRTTGATCAATGCTGTGGGCTTTTATGTTCATTTCCTTATGAACTTTCTTCCACAAAAGAGGCAAGCAGGAAGCATGTACTTTGCCTACAATTAAGGACTCTCAAATGGCATAATGCACAACACAAATTACATCATGCACAGACTGCTCATCGCCTCCCTTCCTTCCTTAGCTCACAAAAGAAAGATAACAGAGGAGTGATTTACTCTGAGCATGTGAAAGCAGGGCCTGACTGGGAAACACTAGGTGATCAACTCATAAATACTGAACAGCATGTATTTTAACAAAGATTTTTTTCCCCCTTATATGTAGGATATAATATCACATTTCCCACGATATAATATCACATTTCAAATGTAGTATTATATACAGCTATTTTCTTTATAACAAGTTCTTACCTTTATTATTGTAGACATCAAGGTAATTAGGTGCTGAAAAAATTGTTATTAATGATGGGAACCCTGTAGTTTGGCTTTTCCTGTACATTCTATAACTGTAAAACCAAACAGATTATTTTACAACACACAGCAATAAAGGGTTTATTTTTATTTTATATTGTGAGTAATCTCTTGAAGTACACAAAGTACTTACCCTGCATCTTGTGCTTCATGTGCTCTAATGATCGACAACAAGTTATTATTTTGTAAAAACTCACAAACTGCTGGATAGCTGTGAAATGGAAACAATTATGAGCAAACACATGGAGCAAGGATTAGCATTAAAACACCAAATGAAACCTAGGCTATTCCTACCTATAAAAGTAGGAGCACCCTCTGACTGTATTGTGACTGAAGTGCTCTTGTGAATTTTCATTTCCAAAATCTTCTGAAGGATCTGACCACAGTAAATCACACATTGGTCCAAATGCTGGAGGCTCTTTGAATCTATCTAACTGTTTGAGAAAAAGCAACAGCACAAAGATCATTTGAATAGTAAATGAAGAAATGTTATATCTTTGTTATACTACATATCCATCAATATCAGGGCTTCACTGAATAAATCCCAACCATATCAAAGAGAAGCTCTGTATTTTTTTTTCCTCTCCTCCTCCACAAATAAGGCAGGGGCCAAAAGAACCACACCTGTTAAAAGCAACGAGATCTATTAGTTCTGAGAAGGGAGATGACTTCCAGACTGATGGATATGTATAAGACAATCAAKTTATAGACAAGGAACAAAATGGTCCCACCCATCTGCATAATGGAGAGTTTAACAATGTAATGGAAAGATGAGTAGCTTAGCTGTCTGTAGACATTTTTTCATAAAGGCTTCACTTCTCACTCAACTATAGCCCTGCTGGACAATAAGGATCTTTAGAGATGTCTTTTTTTTTTTTTTTCTCCTCCTTTTTTTTTTCCTTTCCCCCTTCTCTCTCTTTTCTCTAAATGCTTCTTTTTGGATGTCCATTTGGACACACTTACTTCAGCAGCCTGTTACTTGCTCAGTAACCACAGTGAAAAGGGGAACAGGGAAAGAGGAGAGAACATCTGATAACACAAAAGAAAAATACCCTGTTTATGTAACATTCAATCAACCTCTGATTTCCCAGAAGTGAAATTAGATAACCCAAATTCAATGTAAAGTTTATTTGATCTTTATGTAGCTGGAGTTTTTTCACAAGATGATTTTATCCAAGAAATGTAGGAACAGTTCTTTGATGGACAGCGCATTAATCTCACTTTACCTCCCATACCAAAGCAGATGACTTTGATGGTACTAGAGAACACTTAACTCTTCATGACAGGTTCGAAGGGAGGTTTGGAGAGCACCTGGTGAATTAGAGTCTAACGGTCCATAGGAATCCATTCAAATATGGAACCAGCAGTAGTGCCAAGCTCTCTCATGCCCTGGAAAATCAGAGCTCCCGAGGCTGCCACCTGCAACATAAGTGGAGAGGTCCAGATCTTTACAAATTCCTGCCAGATAATGGCTAGGCAGGTATTAACTGAAGGTGCTGTTGGGACTAAATCCATATTATAAATCCGGTGGTTTAACATTTCCCACACTGGATGATAAACCCAGCACGGAATATTCCTTTCAGATTAAAGAAGTCAGTCCATCAACTTCTGCAAGTACCTGAATTTCTGTAGATTAAACCATCAAGTTTCTAAACCTCCAGCAATAAATTTGGGTCCAGGAACTAACTGAAGCATTTACACAAGGACGATCCGATTGTTCGCGATGGATGTTTCCTGCAACATAGAAGGCTGAAAGTCTAGAAAGCATTTCTAATAAATATTTGTTTACTGATTCTTTAAGGATTTTCTGTATGACTTTGGCCAAAGGGTTAGAGGAAGATGTCAGAAAACAAAATCTCTGGTTGCTGAAAGCAATGCACCTCTCTTCCAGACTACCTTCTCGTAGCCTTCAGAACAGCAATGCAGTGAAGTAAGGAGGGCTACTTAAAAAAGGTAATTATACTTACTTACACATCAGATCAGCGTCTCCTTCAATAGCTACMACCCCAGACTATCACCTGGCCTGTTCCTCAAGACATCTCAAAATTTAAGAAAATGTCACTGCATTCTATTCAAGCCGGATTGCATCAGATAAATCAAATCAGAATAATAAACTTAAAGACATAACAATACCAGAAGTTAACAAAGCACATGAGCTAATTCAAAATACTTGCTACCGATTAATTAATGTAACCAAGATGATGACGATTTTGTTTTAGAATAAGCAGCTCTACTCATGGTGTTTTTCAGATATAGGTTGCATWTTTTTAATACATACCTTAAGATACCTAAATATAAATGAATTCCTACATATTATAAGTCAAAGCTATCAAATGAATTTATTACATCCCTCCACATGGATGCTTAAATTCAKAAAGAACAAAACCCTGCAGGTAGATTAAGACACAGCAAATTAAAATTAGTGTACATTTGAAGAAAAAGCACCTTCACAGAAGTCTGAGCTTACTTGAAGTTACAGACATTGGTTTTAATTATTGTGCCCTAATTTTCCTGTGTACTTTTATATAGTAAAGCCCTAAAAACTATGTGAGGCCCAGTGCAGAGTGGCAAGCATCTTATATTTAGCCAAAGATCAGGAAATTTCAGCTAACCACAGAAAGGAAGAATTACAAAAAGAGAATCCCAGTAGTTCCCCCATTAGAATGAATAAGAGTAGGAAGACATGGACTGCCACTGACAAATACAGAACAAGTACAGTGTACTTCTCCTTTATCAAACATATACAACTTTATTTTTTAAACAGAAAKGTGCATATTTTGATGCATTTCTCTAATTAAAGCTTAATATCACAGCCAGCAAAATAAAACAATGATTGTTTGCTGTAAATTAGTAATACAATTCTCTCTCCATCTCTCAGCATTAAGAGACCCTATAGTCTTGTCCATATTTCCTTCCCTTACAGGGTACTGGACTTTGAATCACTATTCTTAGAATTTAGTTTCAGCAAAACTCTTGGCAGTGTAAATGAGATTAACTAAGTAGCACCACTAAATTAACGGACATGTGTCCGAAAAAGACACACTTTACAGACACAACCAGAACATCCATGTAAAGGGTGCTTCAGAAGACAAAAATCAGATTAAGTTTCAGAAACCAGCAGTGTCTTGGAAATTAGACACACATTTGCAGCAATCCTTCTGACTAAGCTTCACCGATACRGTTACTGTGAAAACTGCCCTTTAGTGGAAAGGAGTTTTTGCCAGCAAAAATAATCATTTTGTTCATTTAGATTTAAACTGGCTTCCTAAATGTCAGCAATACTGACAAAAAAAAAAAAAAAAAAAAGTCATGATGCAGAATTGTATCTACACAGAATTTCTTCCTTAGGCTGACAAGCCAAAGTTAGAGCTCCTGGTTAGAGCTGTTACTCCCCTCTTGATGATTACACTCCCCGACTGCAAATATGACCTGTTCTAAAAAAGAACATCTGCTACTGAAACAAGGAGGCCTGTAAAATTATACAATTGCCCTGACTGTATATAACACCTATGTTTCATATACCATCTTGTATCAAAATATATATTTTCCTAGACATACAAGGGACATTTTATATCACCTATTTAATTCAAAAGCATCTTACACTATCAGTGCAAGCCAAGCCTATAAACACACAAGTTTATATTTCATCCTACAGCAGCATCACTCCATTAAATTTACATGACTTCCAAACCTTACAAATTAACTCCAAAAGTAAGAATATTTTTTAAAAAGTGTTATCAAAGTRGCTTTCCTAAGTGTTACTCCAAGATGTTTTTTTCCTTTGTTTTACTTTTGAAAAAGCTTTTTAAAATCCAGAATTAGTAACAAAAACCTTCTAATGATTGAGTAGCACTGTTTTTACATTCTAAATAAGAGATGGGTAGCAATGGTAAGACTCCCAGCTACAGCAATTAAAAGCCGCTATTTGACCTAAATAAACAATTCCCAAGAACATAACTAAAGCAGGAATTTATGTCAGGCAGTTGCATTTCAAAAACTTTGTTTCATGTCTTGTTCAAATTTAAAAACATTTGTTCTCAGCAACTGGACARCATGCATGCTGCAACCTCCCTTGGGAATCTGAAACTTGATTCTAAAGGTATGTGTAGAGAGCTCATAAAATGCTCTTGAACTTTTCAGATGAGGAGCTTTAAAAATATTTCTACAAGCATATTGTGAAAACAAATGCAGCTAATTTAACTTTTATCTTCCACAACTAGCCAACATGAACTTTTATTTTGTTTTCCTGTTTATTTATAACTCTTGTTTTCCTGTTTATTTATAACTCTTAAGTTGTATATTACAACTCAGGCCCATTAAAAAGCTATTCACTTTAATCCAAGTTCATCATGAATATAAAACTAGCAAAGCGAATCTTACAGCAAGAATAAGCTCATACTTAATCAATTCTGTGCCAAACGCAACAAGTAGATTTCCTGCCACAAAATACTTCTGTAGAGACTCAACSTTTTTTTTCATAAAATAACATTCATTCTTAATTTCAGCTTCTTCTATCACAACTTCCTTTAGGAAGTATTATAATGTGAATTCACATTAATGGCAARAAGTATCACTACAAAGACTGAACTCTGTGGACAGAGCTCCATGGAGGCTGATCATCCAAACTTCAGAACATTCTCCCTTTACACATKGTTTAAAACAACGAAGACCAACTGCTTTTGTGAATAAAACTTCACAATGCAAAAGAGTGACTCCTTTTTCATTTTACTTTGCTGGTACTGTAAGCATTTTGAAAATAGTTATTTCCTTCATTAGACTGCAAAAGAAATTTGGGGGGGGAAGAATAGACATCATATTTAAATACCTAGTTAATATAGGAATTACACTAAGACTGCGTTAGCAGTCTGATAATCTAAAAACAGCAGCATAYTCATGACAATTCTGCAACTAACTTCACTACAGCTTGCAAAACAACAATTTACTGTTACCCCATTGAAATATTTGGTATTGCAAATAATGAGGAAGTTCATTTAATGAAGAAGAAACTGAAACAACATACAATYTTCTTCTTTCCCTAAGTGTACATAAAATAGCACATGGATGACTACTGACTCACAGATGACAAATGACGATCGCCTTCCATGAGGAAAAAAAATACTGCAATATTTTGGCAAAAGTTCTCTACCTTGCAAGTGATAAAGATTTTAAAGCAGATGCATCTTGATAACAGTGGCCGTACTACTAAGGCTGTTTAAGACCCTTCTGTTCAAACAGCCTTATGTGAGGGGTTTTTTTTTGTCTCTTCAGAAATTGTTTCCTTAGTAGAAGCAATTTGGTACTACTAGTTTCTTCTAAATTGCAGAAATGACAAACAATAAGAAAAAGGCAAACCGGGAAGCTTTGAAAAGCACAAGGAAGTCCCTCGTGCAGCTGGCTCAACATCAGCGAGAGCGTCTTCCCTCCTACCACCTCTCTCCTAGAAGGGCTGATTATCACCAGCGGTGACCAGGGAAAACTGAAATTCCACACAACAGTGGGTATATTTCCAGTTCTCATGCAACTGATGATGTTTCACATTCTGTACTAACAGAATTTTGAAAATAAGTGCCAAGAATAACATATCCCTCCTATCACACCCCATGTTAGTTTCATTGGATACAGTCCTCCCCTGACATCAGCACTCCATACAAGCTACAACCAATTTTAAAGGCAGTTTGATATGTGATGTCATCACAGTCTCCTTCCCTTTCAACTGCATGTGACTATCTAGTTTCCATTGTTCCATTTTTAAAACTGGTTTTAATTCATTTTACCAACACGCTTATTCATCACATTTACTACCATGAGAAGCATTCCATAGCTATTAATCAAATGGCCTTCTAAATTTCCCATTTTAAATAATGTTGAACTCCTATGAAACGCTGCAACTTCGTAGTCTCTTACAAACCAATTTTGTAACCAACTATTTCAGAAAAATCTAATAAAAAATACATTAGAYAGACAAGCATTAAAATAATTAAAAAATCTTAGGCTAAATTTCAGTTCCTGAATTACACTTCCAAAAGAGASAAGATGACAAAACAATACACTGGTAATTTTACAGACATGACTTTGTATAGCATCATGTAAATCTTCATATTTCCACTTATTTTCAAATACATAAAATACTCACTCTCCTAATGTCATCTAGTGTGTTTATTTCTGGTGAAAGTCCCCCATGAACACAAAGAAACTGTTGATTTAAAAGGGCAGCAAGAGGAAGGCAATCAAAAGCTTCCATGCAAGCATCATAGACTCTTTCCGAGTATTTTATTTTACCTGGAAAGAAATATTTAAAACATTAAGAATAACACATCAGACACAAAAAGTAATATAATGGRTCTTAAATTTAACTTCTAAAACTATACAATTCATTTCTTCTTTTATTGTCTCAAGTATGGAGAAAGTATTTTTGCTTTGTAAAGAATTAGAGAACTATTTTGCATTATACAATTATACAGCATATCTTAGTAACCAAAATATTACTGAGAAGTTTGTGGTCTTCTCATTAGACTGAAAGTCAAGAACTGCCTATAGATTCTACTACATCACCTTCATCTACATTTTTTTTTTTTTTTAACCATGACAGCTGATCCTTGACCAATGGATCTATACTTACAAATCTCCAAATGGAAGGGTACCATGCATCACCAAGAGCCATCTTACACTGGCAGAATTAAAATCACTTCCCAAATTGAAAAATTACAGCAGCAATAGAATCTTCTTATGACCTTCACAATACCCAAACCAGCAAGAAATTTCA